CTGGAAACTGGAACCAGGTGTTGGGTCAGAACGGCATGGAGACATCGTGGAGAGTAGCTGGCAAAGGTGCAGAGCAGTTTCACGGGGATCTGGGATCATTCCTCCGCACAATAGTCACCCCAGTGAGACTCTGATCCAGGGTCAGTTCCAGCGGTCAGTAGTCACATGTACATAGGTGATGGCTGACTTTATTTTTGTATCCCTAAAACCATCTGTTGACATAAAATTCCCATTATATTTCAGTAGTGTCATGCTGGTAGGTGTCCCACCCAGTTAACTCTCATGTGATGCAGAACATCGCCCCAGATGGTAAGAACTTGCAACTTCTGCTTATCCTTGCTATGGTAACATTGGGGCCAGCAGCCTAGACCAGGCAGCAGAGTGCACAAGGCTGTGGTATACCCTGGCTGGGATACCAGTCCATTACTGGGCTCATGTACGCATTAATACAATCACTTCAGGCAATTTAGAGACAATTAACCTAAGTGAATGTCTTTGGAGGACTAGAGAAACCAAAAAGTATCCCCTTCTTGTTGTTCGCAATTTGTGATACCATCAAGGAGTCGACTGGTTTCGGCCCCTTTGAGTTCGTCGGCCAATGAGATGTCTTGGTCCTGCCTCCTCTGGTTGCTTGGGCCCACCTCCTGTACAATCTGATTGGTTAGCTCCCTGAGCCAATCATTTTTCCTTCTGCCCTCAGAACATTTTTGTCTAAGTAAAACTCCCATGAGCGATAATAAAGAATGAAATAATAAAAAAAAACAGTTTTTATTTTAAAATCAAGGATGATGCATTGCTACCTTCGTCAAACTATTTTCCTTTCTCTACCCAGAATATTTTCCCAAGACAAATTATTGGATGAATTACAAGTCTTAATATTCCCCTGAAAAGCCCCTGGAGACCAGGCTTCTGCCCTTGTCACCCCCTGTTTATGTCTTGTGGTTTCACTTGTGGCACTTTTGTCTCATAACAATAACAATCTTGCTTTTACTTCGAACAGAAGACAGATTGGGCAGAAATGACTAGCAATGCTATCGTCTAACATTGATGCTGCCATCAGACTCCACAGTGTGTCTCTCTCCTGACCCTATATACCACACAACAAGCTCTTTATAATGTACATTTATTTAAAATTTTATTCTTTCATTATCATACTATTTTTAGTCTGATTATGCAACTAATTCCTCAGACATGTAAATACCCTTGGTGAGATAAGATTATGCTGATTCTGAGTATTTTTAACAAAATTTTCATGGCTGGCATTAAAGACGGGGAACTTCAAACTGCAGCGACCATTACAGATAATGGATGGTTGCTCGCAAAATACACGATTCAAAAACTACTCACTCAGACAGGAGGACCAGAAAAACATCAACTTGATTACCCAACGGAAATTTCTGTAAAAGGACCTGTCTGCTGCGGCAGCAAGTGCAATCATCTGCTTCTCATGGTCACACCTGGCCGCCCATAAATTAACGTTAAGCCTCCGTCATTTCCGTCTTTCAGGAATGTCCAGCGCTCGCGCTTTTCACCGCCGTAAGTCAGTGTAATTATGGCGCTGGGAAGGAAAAGCAGAAACGAAACACCGGGAATTTGGCTGCTCTCTCCTGGCAAAGTATCATGTATTAGAAGCTGTAACCAAACGCTGTAACCAAGTGCGACATTTTCCCCATTTAGTTATTTACAACCCAGAGAGCTGCATTAAGAAGGGTCCAGTAGTCAGAGGGGAAGGACGCGGGCAGGTGAGGCAGGGAAGGCCGTCTCAGCCTGCTGCAGCTTGGCAGGGGGGCCATCAACAAGGGCTCCGGCTCTTCACAGCCCCAGTTGACACATATGTGAGAAGGAAACTCGCCCTATGTGACAGAGGATCCCTGTTCAGGCGTCCAGCTGCATTAACATGCATGAGTCCTGAGACAGTGACAAAAGCCACTGAAAGCTAAAGTGCATGTGGACTCCCATCTCTCTCTCTCTCAATTTTTCTCTGTATCTCTCTCTTTCTCTCTCTCTTTCCAGTGTGGCCAGAACTTTGGGGAAAAAAACAGCAATCTAGGGGATGTATGACATTCAAAGCTTAAAAGCAAGTATGCTAAAGCCACCTGCTTTATTTTCATGCCATGATATAACATTTTGAAGGCGATAAGATTAAGGCCAAATTTGCTTATGCACTTGTCTGGCTGCAGTTAACTCTCCTTATCAGTCCTTCCTAACAACGGACAACAGACTCTTTGTTATCAACACCTAGCCACCGAGCTCTGCCTGGGAATGTGCACGTCCTGTATCCCATCCCATATCCTGAGCCCCATGTACAGATTTCACTCCGAGCTGTTGCCCTAACTCCTCTAGCCCCTGTGCCTGTATTGTCCCACCTTCATCAGCTGAGAGCCATTATTCAGAGAAGCTCTACAAAATGAGGGATGGACCTACATTTCAGAGGTTCCTGGGTGCCTGACTGTTAGCTTGCAGTACCTTCCAAACCTGCTTCATCATGGTAGGTTTAAGAATTTCAGGACATTCTGTCACCATTCATTTTCTACTAGCTAACAAACCAAAGGGTATATCCTCCTGAGATCCGACCTATTCATTTATGTCCATTGTAGTGGACATTGTATTTTTGCATTTATTTTTTCACTGATGTTGGGAAACGTATTTACTGTATTCTTGTTGTGCACTAAAGAGGACATGCTGGGAAATTAAAATAAGAATACATTTTAAAAAATCTAAATTGTAAGATGTCTTATTTCCTCCAAAGACAAATAACCTACAATTGAAGGACACTTTTTTCCTTGGGTCTCGGGAGGATAAACATTCCTACATGCATGCACAAAATAATATATACTGAAACAGGATAAAAGTGTTTTAAAGCATACAAATTCTGTGTCCAGGCAAGCAAAATGAAAACTAGATTCATTTAGCAGATTCTTGAAATAATTGTGTACAATTATGTAATTAGTTTTGCAGTGAGGTGGCACAGTGGTGCAGTGTTTAGAACGTTGCCTCACACCTCTGGGACCTGGATTCAAGTCTCTACTAGGGTTCCTTGCGTGTGGAGTTTGCATGTTCTCCCTGTGACGCTGTGGGATCTCCTCCATGTACTCTGGTTTTCCTCTACAGTCCAAAACATGCTGAGGTTAATTGGAGTTACCAAATTGCCTGTAGGTGTGGGGGTGTGTGACTGGTGTGTGAATGTGCCCTGTGATGGGTCGGCACCCCATCCTGGGTTGTTCCCTACCTTGTGCTTGTAGTCCCTCAGATAGGCTCTGGACCCCCCCCCTGTGACCTTGAATATGACAAGTGGTTACAGAAAATGGATGGATGGATAATCACTCAATAAATCCACAGGACGATGGACACCCAGTTAACTTGTAATGCTGATTTAGCGAGCTTGAGCTGTCCTTTGGGTCAGGTGAATAATCACAGTAAATGAGCTGTATTTGTCTTTTAACTGGCAAACGGGGATTTACGACGACCTACGGCAGTGTTTTTAGTGGGCCGCTACCCATAAGTCATTTTCAGTTGATTGCAAAGTCTGCGATTTAAAAAAATATATATTGCCCACCCCCCAGCTTTTTGTATCGTGCCTAACAGATCACAGCAGAATGCGGGTCCTGAGGTCTGACCAGTTCAGGACCACTGGTCTGTAGGGTTCCTGCTGCTTGGGTTCGGTTGGCAGTGACGCCATCAAGTCCATGCTGCCCCCCCCCCACCCCACGCATGCTCCCAGTAACTGGCACAGCTTCCCTGCCATTTCCACAGCTCTTTGATGTGAAAGAAAATCCTGTGGCGGGTGAGCGCCCTCCTGACGTGTGGCATCCAACCCTGAGCTTTTCCTGTTATTCAACCCCACGCCTGATGCCCTTTTTAGGGAGGATGGGGAGCAAGGGTGAGGATCTAGGCCGGGCCGCGACCTCACACATTACTGGCACCACCTGGGATACAGTGGCGCTCAAACCTGGGTCTTCCACATCCATTTCCAATGTAGGCCGAAAGTGGCCTTTGTAGAGCAATGCAGGAGTGAAACAGGAGAGTTTCTGAAAGGAAGAAGACTGCAGCATTCAACCCCAGGAGGATCTAAAACACAGACAGGATCAAAGGGGATTGTCAAAGCGGTCCATCAAGATACGTATTCTTATAAAAGACGTTTTTGTTTAATAAATTACAGCATCACAAGTTCATAAATTAAATAAGGTTTTAGAAATATCAAAGAGCAGATATGCAAATGAATGATTCCAAGTTCTCGCACTAGCAAAATTATTGTTATCATTGAGATTTTTAGGAAAAAATAACTGAAAACAGAATTATAGTATTCAGGAACATATATGAATAAAATCCAACATGGACATAAAAAAAATGTATTTTCATTCTGTCAGAAGCATCTGAGTTTTGCAATTCATGCATTCTGTCACATTTGTTAAATCTCCACGTAACAAATTTTAACAATCAGTAAAATGTTCACAGCACGATGTGGAGAGAAATGTCATGCCAACACATGTTACTGTTTAAGGCACCTTGCATTGATCCCAGACTGTTAATGAAGTCCCCTGAAGAGACACACATACATATGGTCCGAGCAAACTGTCAATTAATAATGCCATTATATCATGACAGGCTGACTGAATTTTATATATATATATATATATATATATATATATATATAGTGTGTGTGTGCATGTATGTGTATATATAAAATTGATGTGCTCTATGTATATTATGATATACAGGCCTACTGCATATATGTATATATACATACATACATACATTATATATCTATAACCACATGGCCTAGAGATTATTAACAGGTGCAGTCACATGCATACGCGGATGTATCCCTTAGCGTTGCGGACAATAAGTTTTGCGTTTACATAAATTACACAAACTAAGCACATCAAGATAATGTTCAAAGTAACTGCGGTACAATTTAAAAAATCGAATACATTTTCATCTTTTTTAAAAATAATACAGAGGTTTAAGGTGTAAAAAATTGAAACGATAAATTCTGCAGCTATTGAAAAAATAAACTTTATTTGAAAGAGGAATACAAGCATTGTCTCCACGCAAGTAACAATTCAATAAATTCTCTTTTAACGGCAATAACTTCATGCTCTGCATTAAAGTTCAAACGGCCTTAAAAACAGTAACTACCCCCCGCCCCCATCCAGTCCAGAGTGGCTGAAACAGTTCGTGCGACTTTCTCTAAATGAAAGAATTTCACTCTGTTTCTCGATCTGGATCCGTCTTTCGTGTCACCCGATACGGACAGTTTCCCGCGGCCGGCTTGGAGCTCCCTGAGATGTGAACACTGATTCCGGCTCCGGGCGGCTTTGCAGGCCGTCTACCTGCGACTCATTCGCAGCGAACTGACTCCACGCATCCTCAGGCAATCTCTGCCATCCTTCACCTACAGAAAATAATTAAACAACAATTCAGTTTTATATAGGCCTATAGCCCTTCCCAGCAGAGCCACATCAAAGCGCTTAATTACTTGATCCGAATCAAATTTGGGACAATTACGCAGACAGACATAACAGCAGGTAATACGGTGTTAAAAATAAAAAAAGCACGTAAGGCACTGTATGAGGATAACAGAAAACGTATAGCTAAATAAGTTTCATATTGATATATTAATAATGATGAGTGTGTGTTAAGACAGATGACATGGTGTTATTTGTTGGATAAACTAGGAAAACTCAGATTAATATCAGAAACCGACAAAACCAAGGGCTCAGATAAAAAAAAAAAAACAAGAGACAAGCAACAATCAAAAATATATTTTTCTCCCAAATAAATTGAAACTCCTAGACTGGAATAACCTATATTCCTTCCCCACGTAGGCCTAAAAATAAACACTTATTTGTCATAAATTTCTGAATATTTGTTATGTTACACATTTACCCGTACATAATTTGTTATTCTTGATTGTATTTTTTATTCTATCATTTATAATAACACCTTTTTATTGTCTTAGCCTAAATTTGCCTAAGAATACTTCAAGGATTTTTTTAGGCTTATATATTAGGCTTATAAATAAAATCTGTGTATTGTGATGCTTTTTCGTTTTACTCATTTGTTATTTAAGGTAATTCCTTATCGTTTTTATAGATCATGTTTTTCAGGTTATAATATTGCTTACAGCCTGAGGGTATGGATGCAACAAAAATGTTATACCGCATATTATGCAACTGATCAATATTCCGATGCGTGAAACAGAAAAATAACAAAGGAATATAGTTTACTTCGGATAGGCCAAGTTAACTACATACAAACCGTGTTTTCACGTTGTATTATTAGGCCTGATACACCTATCATCTACATACACCCGGTTTTCATTTTTAACAGCTATTTCGAATGCAGCCAAAAATGACAGCGCTGCAATATGCAGTGAACTTGTTTCCCAATTACTCGTCTTTAGCATTTGGCGCAGCAAAATTTATCTTAATAGACAGTTTTGGAAAATCATTTCATTGGAGTATTTTAACTTTACGCCTATTGGGGTATTTATAGCTGCAGGCGAGGCCTACTTGAAATATTTAAAAGCATTTAACAGTATGAATTACATGAAATGGCATTGACATCTATAGATTTGTATTAAACTTTGGTTATGGAATTCAAACTCCTGCTCTTTAAAAAATGTATTCCTTTTAAGTATAACAGTTATGGGCAGCAACTCAAGCCATCCATCCTTGCATGCTTACCCCTTTCCTCTGGTTGCTTAAACAGAACGTACAGATGGTCCTGGGCTGCTTTCCGTCCCCTTCCCCCTGCGCGCTGTACACCGCGCTCAGGCACGGCTGGCCATCCTCGCTACCGTCCCCCAAAAGCAGCACGTTTGCCAGGTGCGAGATGTAGCTGGAGGCCAGGCGAAGCGTCTCGATCTTGGAGAGCTTTCTGTCCACCGGCTCGGTGGGAATGAGAGTCCGCAGCGCCGTGAAAGCCGAGTTGACGCTCTGCGTACGGTCCCGCTCCCTGGCGTTGGCCGCGTTGCGCTGCTTCACCATCACCACGCCGGTGACCCCGGACTTGCGAGACATCCTCCGGTGCTTCTCGGCGCAGTATCCGTAGCTCTGATCCGAGCTGCCGTCGCTCTCGCTGCGGTTCTCCTCGTCCTCGGACATCATGCTGATGTCGGGATAGACGAGGTGAGTAGCCATGGGCCTCAGCATGGCAAATGTCATCATCGGGAGGCTTGGGGTTTCGGCAGCACGGAGAAATCAACCGGGAAACACTCCCGCTGCATATATGTATGGATGTATGTGTCTCCGAAAACTTAACGTCAGGCTATCAGTTGCAGTTATTGTTAACATGCGTGTATTGCGGATGTTAACTGTCAACACATGATTTTCCAAACTACGTTTGATCCGGGAGAGAACTGAGCGCGACGCGCTACTGAGTCCTTATATCTGAATGGGAGGGGTTGCCTGAGGTATGCAAATCCCCAGCTTCCAATGGAAATCGTGACATTTCCACCCTCAAATTCAGCTTCTACAGTGATTTACTTATCTATATGCTTCATTTTTACAGCTTCCAAGCAATTATCGCATAGCAACTACTACTGCGACAAAATTGTCTTAGAACATAATCTGAAATTAGAAAACCATTTAAAAACGAGATGGCGTTATACACTAACTGATGTAATTCATGCGGACTTTATTAATAATCAAACTGTATTTAAACCGAAATATTATGCAACGACGCGTGTACTGTACTTCCACCATGCAAATATTCTGCAAAATAGTTTCAGTTTATTTACCATTGCAACTTTATTTGATTAAGCAAATTCTATTCAATAAAAGCTCTGAAAACTTTAGCAGTTCATTTGCTTGAGCGTTTATGGACATTTAAATTTGAAATGGGTTGCATAATGGAACATAAATGCTGAAAAATTAATGATAGGGCGCCAGTTACTAGTTAAACACGAGTTTAAATGACTAGCACACTTTACTCCGAAGTTTAAAAAAGTTGTTTAAGAGTAACTGTATATTATGGATGACATAACGAAAAAAAATCACTTCCCATTTCCGTTAGGCAGACACAAATTCCAGTCACCGGTCCCATGGTTTTCCATTTATTTCACACCATTTTCAACTAAACACTAACGTAAAAGCTGATCAATTCCACTGTTCTTCTGGGCGGTTTGAAAACAGAAGCTGCTTCCTATTCCAACTTGCAGGCTTTCGGGAAAAGGCGAGCACAGTCCTTCTGCACTTGCCGGCTTTTAAATATTTTTCTTCTCCTTTTACTGTCTGGACTGTCTGGTGATTCTTTGGGGACCGTTTCTGTATAAGTAATCATCTTAGAAATGAGCATAACATTTGTCCTCGCTTCCACATTGAATCAATAGCTGTCTGTTCCCCGTTCATTAATAATTCTGACAACAAAGCCATCCACGTGCATGACAAAGTTATGTTCAACATTGTTTTAGTTGATATTAATAACTTATACCTGCAGAATGTTTCAATTTGAAAAAAGAAATATCTTGTTATTTCGCCGTGTTTTTTGAGTTTTGGTCCAGTAGTGCATTACTGCAATTTTATTTGAAGAAAGTCTTGCTGATTTTCTATTCAGTGGGAAATATAAAATGGTCCTCCTCAACATCGTTAGAAATAATCTACTATTTATCAATCAACTAAAATACGGTCATAGTTAAATGGAAATGTAATGCGCAGTTGGGGGTAATATTCCAGGTAAGAATCCTGTGTAGTAAAATCAAAATAAATATTTCCGCATTGGTTTGGGTCGGCTGCACAAATTCTTTCTTAAAACGTATTATATAAAATGCAGACACATGTAGGCCCGCAATTTTTATTTCATTAATTTTAATTTTTTATTTTTGCGAATAACGTCACCCCTTGGAGAAATTGAGACAGGAGTGCAAATGCAGATTTTTTTGTTTTTAAATGGCGAAGATTCAAACAACCCAAACTGATTTTACCTTAGGTTACTCGTACATTATATAGGCCTAGGCCTACTTTATGATTATTATGCCATATTAATAATAAGTTGTAAAATATTTTTTTTTGGGGGGGGGGGTTATATAAAACGTGGGCCTGCTTATACATGCTCTCAAGATATTTAATTAGCAGTTTCAAAAAACGCATTTTTCACGTCGTTCTTTTCACGGCCTGCTACATTTTTATAAATGCCCTTATCTCTGTCCCGCTATCTAAACAGCCAAAAGCGCGTTAAATCCGCAAACATCAAAACATTGGCAACCATCTGCACTCTCTTCTTGCACCTCGTTTGTACCGTATTTCCTTGACACTGGGGAAGCATTTTGTGAAAAGCGTAAAATCCCACGTCACACAACAGAGAATTTAATTTATCAGCTCTATGAGAAATTTCAGTAATTCCCACTAACCACTTAAATTAGGCTACTTGAGGTCAGAAACGTCAACATTTTAGCTCTGTATCTTGTGGGACCATTGGTATTATAATTTAGTCTGTTTCCCAGCTTTCCTCGCTGCACTGTACGGAGTGATTATTACAGGTTATAAATGTAAAAATCGGTGCGCGCTTTAACGCTGCGGTTCAGTGTTTTACGCTGCCTGCGCAGTAAATCGTTTAGCAGCAATGAAACTGGTGAGTGTGAAGCGGCGGCGGGGGTGCGACAGATCGCTGTCAGGGATTCCCTCGCTATATCTTTGGCGCAGGTTTGCCCCCCTCCCCTCCCCCGCTGCGTCTTGTTTTCCTTCGGTGGCGCAAACCCAGCTCCGTTGTTTATACTGGGAAGCAGCGCACACTTTTTGCCCTTCTGCGTCTCTACACAGCCGCATGTGCGTAAACTAATAATGCGGCCACAAATGAGCATATCGAATTTGGTCTTAATCGAATTCATGTTATTTATCCAATCACTTTAACTAGGACATAAAGTTGTATTACGATAAATAATAATAATAAAAAACAATAGGTCATATATACATTTATAATTCAACTTTGAATCTGTGAATAACTTTCTATTTTGGGGCTAATAGTTTCGGAAAATTATAACTACGTCTATAGGGCTATCTAGCTGTAGGCTAGGCCTACTTGAAATATTTAAAAGCATATTATAGCCTAAAAATATGATCTATATACAATATTAGGATAAAGGTCGCTATGTCTAAATCCAATGCCGATTCATTGATAAATACAAATATTTAATACTAAATGTATCATTACTGAAGAAGTTTAAAGTGTGTACGTGTGCTCTGAATCATGTAGGTAACCCATCCGATTTCTTATTATGATGTTCTTAAGCAGTATACGAGAATTTGGGAAGAGCTGGCAGGACTGAACCTGTACAAAAAAGGCTTAACACGCATAAATCATAAGGAACGTGTGGTTTCCAAAGCATTTCTTATCCTTTTCCAGCAAACGTCGTAACCTATTAGCTGGCTTCGGTTTAGCGCCTGGCATTTCAGTACGTCCAGGCGCACGTCTCACGCGGGGCCCCGTCAGCTTCGGGAACGCCGGTGTAACGGGACGAATCGCACAGCACGCGTCGTTTTTCCAAATCATTACTAATAACTTGAGCATTCGGCTTGAAGTGACCATTACTCTGCTTGAGGGCTCCGTTGATGAAAAACAGCTAAGCTTTACCGCTGGCAGCCTGTTCTCCTTTCTGCACGTTGTTGTTGCTTTAGTCAGCCCAGAAAGGCGGCTGCTGGGAAAGTGAAGCAGGCTCATAATCAACATAAAAGAGCCTCTTTATGACTGAGCCTGGTCACCAGCAGACTCTGTGTTACAGCTGATGGAGCATGAGCCCTTCAGAGGTTATTGCGAGCTGTTAATGTGGAGAAAGGCGGGTCGGCAGTCGCCCATGTGTTTTCAGTAAGGCTGCACCTGTAAACCAATTCATCCCAGTCCGCCCCCTCCTGCTGCCTCATAAGCCTGCAATTAAGGGGGCTGTACCAATCACGGCAGGGGCAGAACCACTGGGGGGGGGGGGGATATCTGTTACCCAGGGAGGAGGGGTTGGGCTTTAGTGGGGTGCTGTTATTCTGACGAATCTAAGAACTGATTTTCACGAAAAAATGCCCCACCACGCACTTCGAGGGCAAGGGGCGTTAAAACGGAGGGTCGTGTTGCATTTTTAAAATGCCACAGGCTGAGGTCCGCGCCTGCATTCCACGTGTCAAGGATCAAACGGTGCCCAGGATTTCGCCCGAGCTTCACCCCTAAAATTTACTTTACAGCCGTTAAAAAAAAAAAATCCAATAAAAATTCCCTGCCCACAACATGTATTGGGTGGAGAGGGCCATTTCTGTTCAAAAGCAGTAAAATGGCAGCCTCTTTTTAATACGTATGTGAAAGGACAGCGTCCTGACTGTACAAATGGCCATGCAGCTTGGGGTCCTCGCATTCCAGGGGCACCTAAGACCCCTGCACTCAATTAAACCCTTGTGAAGTTCCCTCCACATGGTCGACATTTTAACCCCTTTTACAAACCTATAAGAACTGCGCACATTTGTTCCGGCTCTTAGCGGAGATGCCTGCGTCCCTATAAATCACAACGCTGCCCCCCCCCCCCTAGCTATGTGTCATCCTTCTGACCCCCCTGGTTAAGGCACTGTGTGTCATTAAGGTGCGTGGAGTCATTTGCTCACAACATGTTTTTTTGGGGCTGCCCCTCCCCCGGACGAGGTGTCTCTGAATGACGTCCACAGCTGCCCCCTAAGACAACGATGGGGCTCCTTTTCTTTTCCCGCTCTTTGGTTACCCAACATGGGGGTGATGAGCTCATGACACGCAGGTCAAGCATCTAAGCTCCACCACGATGACATTCTGCTGCAATTACATCGCAGACCCACACAGCGAGTCAGATCACTCATTACTCTGTGAATTGGCCACAGATGACCAGGCATCCCAGTCAGTGGATTTACGGGACTTGACGTCATAACTATGCGATGCTTTATTGGCGTGTGCCTGCTGGAGGTCTTGCAGGTGTGCAGGTAAGGAGCAGGTGTAACCTCTGGTGGCCTGGAGGCGTTGGTGACACACCCAGGCTCCCGTGGAGTGCCAGACAAGACATCGGTGACATAGGAGTCCACGTAGAGTTGGCATCTTCTGAGGGGGCACCAGCGGTGAAGCTGGCTTCGACCACCACATGGGGTTTGCCTGGCACCTGCTGCCACCACAGCAGTGATACTGGGAAAGGGTTTCATAAATGCTTGGGTGGCACACACCAGAGAAAGTACAGACATGATGACCAAGGATTTACCTTAAAAAGACTGTGAGAAATATGCCCCAGAAATGACTTTAGATAAACACCACAGTGCCAAGGGTCCATACTAACTCATCGGGGCGGCAGCCAAAAGCCACATCATTCTGCCGTGAACATGCATATGTTTACACAACGGAATGTAGCTAATGTGATGTCCCGTGGCATGCTGGGTAGGATGTCAGCAAGATTAATGCCACTGATGCTCTGTGGTTTTACTGAGGCATTTTTATTTTTTTATCCATCAGAGAACATATATAGTTATTTGTTATCAGAAAACTTACATAGTTAGATTTTGTTTTGAATATCAAATATTGATAATAAGAAATTCTGTCCAGGATGTGCACTAGCCTTGTGCCCTGTAATGCCTTGTGGAGGCTTCAGCCCCCACCTCCTCCCCTATAACTCCCACCCCCCCCTTCCCCCCATGACCCAGACCAGGATAAGCATTTAGAAGATAGACGAATGGAAGGATGTATGACATCGCTGGACAAAAC